ATTAATTTCATTTATGTCCTTAGATGCAATTAACATGTCATCAACATAAATCAACAAGTAGATAAAACAATCATCATGCAGCTGTTTGAAGTACACACAATGATCAAAACTACTCCTATTAAAACCTTTGGACAAAACAAAATCATCAAATCTCTTATACCACTGCCTAGGGGCTTGTTTTAACCCATAAAGGGACCTTTTCAAAAGGCACACTTTGTTCTCAGCCCTTTTTTTTTATAAATCCTTCGGGTTGCTCCATGAATATGAGCTCTTCAAGGCTGCCATGCAAGAAAGCAGTCTTGACATCCAATTGTTCAAATTCTAAATCATTAATTGCAACAACTGAAAGAATGAGCCTAATTGAAACATGTTTCACAACAGGGGAGAATATTTCATTGTAATCAACACCCTCAACTTGTGAAAATCCCTTAGCAACAACCCTTGCCTTAAACCTGGCAGCTTCAACACCTGAGATTTCTGGCTTCCTTTTAAAGATCCATTTGCATCTAATCACCTTCTTGTTCTTTGGACGCTCCACCAAAACCCAAGTCTTATTTTTCTCAAGAAACTCCATCTCTTCCTTCATGGCTTTTAGCCAATGAATTTTAGAATCCAGCCTCATAGCCTCTTGGTATGAGCTGGGTTCATTAAACTCCAGCATATCTCTTACTTGGAGTGCAAATGCTATGACATTTGCATGTGCAAAATGACTTGGAGGTCTTATATTCCTCCTAGTCCTATCCCTAGATAGCAAATAATCCTCTAGATTATCTCTATCCACTTCCACATCATGCTCCTCAATGGGAATGTCATTCCCATCATCTTGAACTTCAGCAACAGTGTGCTGTTGTTCATTTTCACCCACATCAGGTTGCTGCCCAGTGTTGTTGGGCAGCTCCACCTCCAACTCAACAGTCCTAGGAGGATGCTATTTGTCACTAAGCTTGGATATGTCTTTATAGAATGTGTTTTCTTCGAAAATCACATCTCTACTTATGACACACTTCCTTTCAGCTATGAGCCATAACTTATATCCCTTAACACCTGAAGGATAACCAACAAAAACAGATTTGACAGCTCTAGGACTCAACTTATCTTGTTTTACATGCATGTATACAAGACAACCAAATGGTTTTAAGTGTCATAGACTTGGTGGCTTACTAGACCAAAGCTCTATAGGGGTTTTAAGACCTATAACAGTGGATGGGCTCCTATTTATAAGATAACAAGCTGTGGAAACAGCCTCAGCCCAAAAAGAATTAGGGAGACCAGATTCAGCCAGCATACATCTGACCTTATTTAGGATGGTTCTATTCATCCTTTCAGCCACCCCATTTTGTTGAGGAGTTTCAGCACAAGTTCTGTGCCTCTTTATACTATGCTCATTGCAAAAATCAAAAAATTGATTATTGCAAAACTCAAGCCCATTATCAGTCCTTAGAACCTTGACTTTCTTATCAGTCTCATTCTCTACAAGGGTCTTCCAGTTCTTGAAGCTATCAAAGGCTTGATCCTTTTGCTTCAAGAACATGGTCCATACTCTCCTAGAATATGAATCCAAAACTGAAAGGAAGTAATGGAAACCAGAGAGAGAAGGGGGAACATTAGGTGATCCCCACAAATCAGAGTGTATGTAATCAAGGACTGATTTAGAAAAATTTGAAGAACTAGAAAAAGGTAACTTGTGTGTTTTTCCTAAAATACAATTTTCACAAAATTCAACACAAGTTACTTTCTTAGAACTTATAATGCCTTGTTTACGTAACTCAGACAGACCCTGGTTGCTAATATGACCCATTCTCTTATGCCAGAGAACAGATTCATCATCCTTGGCTGCTGTTATACAGCTTTCGGATGAGATAGCATGGCCCTGTAATATGTACATGCCATTAATCAACCTTCCTTTCATTAAAATTTCATTACCCTTAAGAACAGTGAGTGAACCTTGCTCACTCTTGAATAACAGCCCACTTGAGTCAAGCATACCTAGAGAAATTTTATTTCTCCTCAAGTCAGGGACATACCTCACTTTTTTGAGGATTTTATGGCTGCCATCAGCCATTTGGAACTTGATAGCTCCAATCCCTTCTATTTGACAAACCTAGTCATTCCCCATAAGGACCTTTTCACCCTTTTGGAACCTTAAACCAGCAAGTCATTCCTTCCTAGGTGTCATGTGAAATGTGCAACCTGAATCCATGACCCACTCAGCCTCAAAACCCTTATTAGACACCATAAGGACTTCAGCACCCTCACACCCACTAAGTAAATTTGTATACTCAGTTTTAGTTGCTGCCTTTGCAGCTCCCTTATTATTTTCAGGGCGATTCTTCTTGATATGCCCTTCTTTATGACACAACGAACAGGTAAGTTTACCTTTTGGCTGCTCCTTATTTTTATTACCTTGTGTGTTCTGGTTAGGTTGGGATACATTATTGTTTCCCTTCCATTTACTTTTAAATTTTCCCTTCTTGTTCCCTTTACCCTTCACAACCAGCCCCTCAGCATGAGACTTTTTATGGGAAAGTATTTCAACCTCCCTTGCTCTCAAAGCTTCAGTTATCTCATCTAAGTCCATTCCACATTTGCTGTATTTATAGCATCTTTTACACCGCTATATGAATCTGGAACAGAATTCAAGAGGATCAAAATTTGATCCTCACTTGAGGCAGTTGCCCCAGCATTATCCAGATCTAAGGTGAGTTTGTTAAACTCATCAAGATTTTCCTCCAAGCATTTAGAAGGATCCATCTTGAAGGAAAGAAACTTCTCCTTCAAGAACATCTTGTTTGGGGCAGATTTAGTTTGATAGAGAGCCTTAAGCTTTTACCGAAGCTTTCTAGGATTAGTTATCTTACACACCTAAGGACACTATCAGACAGATTTACCACAATTAAACTATGAGCTAGAGCCATTAAATCTTCCAGTTCCTTAGGTGCTAGGGAATCAGGAAGATCCTTTTGAGGACCAACAGCATCCTCACATTTCTGTTGCACCAAGACAGCCTTCATCTTGATCTTCCACATGTTGAAGTCACCCCTCCCATCAAACTTCTCCACCTCAACCTTGGTGATGCCCATCCTCTTCAGCTTCCAGCAGCAGAAAGCACGAGGACCAGAGAGAAAGAGACAAAAAACACGGAACAGAAACAGAGACGAACCAGAAGAGAAAAGGAACCAAGAACCTAAGCTCTTGATACCACTTGTTACAACTCTTGGTATAGAGCTACCAAGAATTAACCCAGAAAACAAACTTGCAGAAACGGAAAACATAAAGAACAACACTAGAAATTTATACTTGGTTCAGAAATTCTTTGTAAAAGAATTTCCTACATCCAAGTTGGCCAGTGAGGGTCAAACGCCCTCTAGCATGCACTATTATTCAGAATAGAAATAGGTACAAATATGTTCAGCAGTTTACATATACTAGCAGCTAACACAGCACACACTAAACATGTAAAATCAACACTACTCAAAATAACAGAGAAAATAACCTCCAAGACTAGAAAGTACATGCAAACAAAAATCAACAATAGCAAGAACAAAAGAAAGGTATCACCGAATCAGAGAGCAAACACTAATGGATCTGTGTCTTCAGCTCTACAACTCCACGGACCAGACTTCACCAGCTAGGAACGCCTCTAAGCTTCACCTTCGTTCACTGTTAACAACATCTTCTAACAATAATGCTCCGATCAATTGATGCACCTTCACACGAGGATCACTTCTCTTCAAAGAGCCAAGATGAGATTCTCACTCTTTTTCCCTCAAATCTCTCACACACACACACTCAACAAACCCTAACCTTTTCTTGATTTCAAAGAACCCGAATGAACAGAGAGAGAGATAAAAGCACGATCAGAATAATGCATACAAAACTGAATATTTTTTCACACACTGTTGTAGTTCTCAATTTGATATATATATACCACCATAAAAAATGCAGCGTTTTATTTAGTTGCAATAATACTGCCAAATGAGAATAAGAAAGCAAAACCGTTTTGGGCCACAAAATAATAATGCTATATTCATTTTGGACCCACATGGCTTAAACAAATATTATAACAAGTTCCAGTATATATGCAAAACAGATGCAGCGATGGAATAAATTCAATATCAAATATATCATATATAAACAACATGATATTACAAGTTTAGGAAATACTCATAACATTATCCTGTCCTATCTTCTTTATCAAGTACTCCAAACATAGATTCTTACTTTAAATGAGCATGCGAAGCATATACATTCACAACTAGGTTTCCAATCTGTGAATAACTCGGAGGGAGTCTTTAGAAAAATCTTTCTTGGAACTTAATTCAATATGTGTATTGCCATTTGAAGTGTTTCAATTCACACAGACTTGGAAATCGTGCAACTATTAAACATATTTCACATCTTATTAAGTAATGTTCGATACCTTAATTTTAGAATAAATATCCTTTTTGGTCCTCAACAAATTTTACGATACCCGTTTTAGTCTCTAACAAATAAAGTGAATAAGAAAAGTTAAGCCATATCCAATACAAATCTTAAAACTAAAATCAAGATAATTTTTTAAAAAAAGTCTCAAAACATACAAATTCTTTTAAAGAAAACTAATTAATTAGAGGAATTTTTCCTAATTAATAAAACAATAAAAAAAACATATCCTAATTAATCCTTAAAAATAAATTTCCTAAAATACAATTACATCAGAATATGTCAAAAGAACTGTAATGATAAAACACGTCTAAATTGGAACAAGATCCTTCAAAACTGCCATTCCACAAATAGATTGTGCTTTTATCAATTATCGTATAACCACAACATTGCCATTTGACATTTGTACAATTCTAACATTCCAATCATACCCTTTGAAGATGCTCAACTTCTATGTCCAAATGAAGGGGCAATATAGGCAAGTGAAGGTAGCTGACAAATCAACCCTAGCCTCTCTCTCTTCCATTTTTCTCTCTCTTCACATAATCAACCAGATCCCTCCTATGTTCACAATCACATTCACAAAGCCCCTTCAACACCCAAAAACTCTCTCCCTTTTTAAACCCTCATATACAAATTCTCACATCAATTCCTTCCCGCTCTCTTCAGTCTTTCATTCTTCTTCTTCTTCTTTTCCTCAATTCCATTTATTACAACTCAACAATCTCTTAGATCTGTGAAAAAAACAAACAAAAAAAACAAAAAATCGAAAGCCCTAGTTCTTGTTCTTACAACCCTTTTCCCGGAAAACAATATAGAAAAAGGTCTGATATTCATTACAATCTTGTCAATAAGTCTTTTAACTTTGTAACCACCAGATCTAATTTGTCATACACAGAATTTCCCCAATTTTTAGTTAAGAAATTTTGTTCTGGATGTGGGAAATTTTCTTCGACTTTTACTTTCTTTTTCCCTGAGAAAAAGTAAAATATGCTTGACTGTATTAAAATCTAGTTGGTTTTATGTGTGAGTGTGTATCAAACCATCTGAGATCTGGGTTCTTTTAGAAATGGGTTCTTTGTGTGTGTGTGTGTGGGTACGTATATATCTTTTTTGTAAGCAAAAGTGAAGATTTTGGTACTGATTACTGTGGAACATGGTGGTTTCTGTTGAAGGGCAGCTTTGTGTTAGTGGGGTGTAGCTGGTTTTGAAGTATAGCATATAGAATAAGGTTAAAAAGGGTTCATGGCTGAACAAGGATTGGAAGGAAGCCAACCTGTGGATCTAAGAAAGCACCCTTCTGGGATTGTGCCTACCCTTCAGTGAGTATCCGTTTTCTTTAAATTGAATTGTTTCCTTACGGGTTACAGTACCTGTTTGCTGGATATCAATTGCAAGCATGAGAATCATGATATATGAATAACTGTGCTGTCTGCTGGGCTTTTTTGGTTGCTTCAAATGAGTGATATGGGAGTTTTGAGTTTAGGCCAGCGGGTTTGCTCATTTGTAATAAAGAAGTGACCAGATGTTGCTATCCATATTCCAAGTGATCCTCCATGTATGATATTGAGATTACAACTTGCAAATGATAAAAAAATTAACTCTTTTCTGATGGGGTATACTGTTATCCAAATTCAGCTTGTGTTTTTATGTGGAGCGGATCAGATGGGTTTACTGGTATTTGGGCTAAAATACTCTCTTTTGTCATTATATCATTTATTTTATTCCAATCAACTATTGCTTCTAAGAGAGCGAGCCTCAAGCAGTGGTAAAACTATTCTTCCTTGACTGAAAGGTTACGAGTTTGAAATTGGAAAATAACTTCTTTGCAATTATGCAAGGATAAAACTGTGTATAAGGATTACCCTCACCTCACCCTCGTTAGTTGGGGTTTAATGGGGAGTGGTTTTTATTGCTTCTAAATAGAAGTTGTCCTGGTTAAAGTTAGTCTTGTTTTTCGTATAATGGAGGGGAATCATTCTCCAATATGGAATTCCTTGTAGTGTATTCTTTTCTAGACTGATGTCCCCATGTGTATGTGTGTTTCTTCCAAGATGAACTCAAAATATATGGTCGATATGCTTCTTCTGGTGATTTTGTGATGTTATCAGTTGCTTGGGCTGGATAACCTTTGCTTATATTTGTATTGGAATATCTAAAAATGTGTACTATTTGTACTGCCAGAAATATTGTGTCGACAGTCAATTTGGACTGTAAGTTGGAGCTTAAATCAATTGCGCTTCAAGCTCGTAATGCAGAATACAATCCCAAGGCAAGTTTTGTTTTTTGTTGTGAATTGATCCCATATATGTGTGTGTGCGTGCGCGCGTGCATTGCATATTGTGTTGTATTTTGCATTGCAAGTACAGTGAAGGTTGACTTGGTTTTTGTTCAGTTGTGGAGTTTTGTTTCTTGCTTTTCAAAAATTGCAGTATTCTATCTGGTACAGAAAAGCTTGTTTGATCTAAGATTTTCTATCATTGTTACTATTGATGTCAACCACTTATCCACTTTTATTGGAAATCAATGATAAACATACATGCTAGATATGTTGTCATGCAATTCGGTCATTTGTCTGCAGTTCTGATGTCTGTGATTTGAATCTTTGCAGCGTTTTGCTGCTGTGATTATGAGGATTAGGGAACCAAAAACAACTGCACTCATTTTTGCATCTGGCAAGATGGTATGTTCCTTTTGTTGCATCTGGTACTTCTTTCCAGTTTACTTGGAATTGCATGAACGCAATAGATTCATGTGATTCAATGTGATTCTGCAACCAACCAGTACAGATTGGTTGAAATTTTGTTTTTGGTGCTGGAATTAATGTCTGAATCACCAGAATTGCACAGAATCGCAGGAATTGCGATTCTGCTGTGATTACTAAGATACAGATCTAGGAGGAATATGGAACCAAACAGCCACTTGGGGCAACAAACTGGTTTGTAGATGTGAGGTGGACAGCTGCAGAGGAGAGAAACAAAATAGGCGGCTGAAATAAAGGGTTTCTCTTGCTAGGCTTAGATACTATGTAGGTGAAGTTGGACATCAATTCGTGGTTGTCTGGTTCTGTTATCGAATTCCCTTTTCTTATCCCATGTTTTAGTTAACTGTGCTGATAAGATCAGTGGACAGGCATTTGGACAACTAATGCCAATTGAATGCTGTATTTATAAAATTCAGATTTGTCCATTTGCCACTTGTTCACCATTATAGGTGCTTGTAATGTTTTTGCAGAACTTACGTTAGGATAATTTTTTCATGCTTTTTTTATGGACCTCTTCTCTTGTGGAAACAAATTGGTTTAGTATGTTGCTTGTAATGTGCTTCTATTTCTTATGCTTTTTTAAATTTAATTGGCATGGTTAGGTCTGTACTGGAGCTAAGAGTGAGCAGCAGTCTAAATTGGCAGCAAGGAAGGTATGCTAATGTTCTTTTTTTCCTTTTGTTAGCTCATTCATCCTGTATATGATTTAGGTTTCTCAAGTTCAGGTTCGTTAGACTGGAGAACCTTGCCATAAATGGTAGCTTGGTTTCGAGCCTATTCATCTTGTTGCTTGTAGAAAAATAAGCTCCTTAAACCAATGGTGGAGGATGGATGGTTTTATTGTTCTCTTTTCCTATGTATAAGCATGTTCAATGTATATTACTTTTTTTTTTAATTGGAATTAGGAAATCATTTTATTCTTGAATATTTATAGTATTTTCTAACTAGGTTTTCTCCTTCAGTATGCAAGGATTATCCAAAAGCTCGGTTTCCCAGCTAAATTTAAGGTTCCACCTCTACTCTTTCTCATTATATCCATTAAAATTGCTTCATCTAAAATTGTTTATCGGTTCTTTTTCTCACTACATAAGTAGTGCTTGTCATTGATTTATTCCTTTTGTATTGTGCTTTAGGATTTCAAGATTCAGAATATTGTTGGCTCTTGTGATGTAAAGTTCCCCATACGGCTTGAGGGTCTTGCATATTCTCATGGTGCTTTCTCAAGTGTAAGTATGAAATGTAGCTATTATGTTCTGTTTTTCCTGGTTTATTTAGGGCCTGTTTATGCTCCTGGTGACTTTATGTTAAAAAAATTATTTGCAAAATTGTTGTTGGGAACTCAAATCTCAGTGTTCGGTATCATATTATATAATTTGTATGTTGTTTCCTTGAATTATATACCTGATGTCAAATATTCTATAGAGAAACTGTATTTCATAAGAGGTACCACGGATGTAAACTATGAAAAAAATATTTGACTAATACAGATGCAAAACCAATCTTGATGTCCATGACAACCAAATAACCACTAATCCTTTTTTATTTTTTATTATATCGGAGCTGCTTTGATCCTATCATATCCATTACCAAACGTACTTTGCTGATAGCTTATATGTTTTAAAGGTTTTAAAAATTTTAAAATTCGAACTGTTTGAAGTTAATGGGAGTCTTTTCAGTCGTGATGCTTGTTGTGTGGTAAAGGAAAGTATAGATGATGTTGTGTCTTGGCATGTGCAGCTAGTTTTTTTCTATATACTAGAAATTTAGGGAATGATGAACGTTGTTGAACTTGCTTGTTCCTGGTGGCAGTATGAACCAGAGTTGTTTCCAGGACTAATCTATCGTATGAAGCAACCCAAGATAGTCTTGCTTATATTTGTCTCTGGAAAAATTGTTCTGACGGGAGCCAAGGTAAAATAAATGGTCTTGAGATATTCCCATGTAATTTTATATTAAACCATTTTTCCGGCACATGGGATTAATGATGTATTCATTTCCATTTCTTTAGGTGAGAGATGAAACGTACACAGCCTTTGAGAACATATATCCAGTGCTTACTGAGTTCAGAAAAAACCAACAATGGTATGGACATGCCTCTATTCCATTACCTTTTCAATTGGTATTGGATATATATGTTGTTGTAATCACTGGACTAGGATTACAACGAATCAAAATCATTGTATCTACTTTTTTTTTTTTTGCTTCCATCAAATATCAGATTATAATTTACATATGTAGGCCTGGAGTTTTCCTAATTGAAACAACGAAATACTTCAATGTAGATTTTGATCTAGGTTGTATATATTTGTTTAATTGCTGATGTTTCATGTGATAAAAAAATCACTTTTCATTAAACCCTGACTAGCAAGAGTGGAGTTAAAGGCAATTCTTGTATGCAGCTTTATCCTTGCATATTTGCAAAGAGGCCGTTTTCCGGATTTGGATTTTTATGTCACTAAGGAGCAATTTTACCATTGCTCCAGGCTTGCTTCTTTGATCTTTAGTGTGATGTATCTACAAAGATAAAGTGAAACTTTTGTTGCTTGTGAGCATTTTCTTGTGTTGTGGAGGCACTCATTGTGACTGTGACATGGGTCATGAAATATATCTTGTGAACTATGATGTCTTAATCGGAACATTTTCTATTAATGGCAGATTACTAGCAAGTGCTGGAGCAATGTTTTGTGGCAGAGAAGATCGTGGCTCTGATTTAACTGTAAATAATAAGACAGGATATATCTGGATTGAGATTGACCAAGACAGCCGTTTTTGTTTTGCTCTTTTTTTTTTAATGTGTCTCGATGTAGTAAAGTGAAAAAAAAAATGTTTATTAAATTCGAATTTTTAAAAAAAATTATGTGGACTAGGCAGAAAAAAAAAATATGGAAGAGCTTGATTGAAAAGTGAAAACAATTGTCCGATTACTGTTGTCCACCTTAAGAATTTCTAAGCTTATTTAGGTATGGTTCCTTAAATATCATCCCTAATGTCAATAAATTTTATGATCTGACTGCTGCATGTTTTGAACAGTGAATCAAAACTTTGAGGCATTAAAATACTTAGCATTCGTTGGGTTCAGAACTACTTGATGTAATAACTAGAAAGCAAGGCCTCTCAGCATTACTGTAATGTAAATCATTTAACAGTTTTGCAGTAAACTGGAAAGTATAAGGATTAAACTGTAAAACAAGGGCAAATTCAGTATTTGGTGTTTTTAACTCACTTTTTGGGACTATTTTATGCATGTTCTATGTAATTTCACAAACGTCAAATGATTCTTCTAAAGCTGTATTACTTGAAACTAGAGTTCATAGCAGATTTAATACATGGTAACGTGAAGTACTAAAAAATAATTTAACTTGAAATTTATAGTCATGAAATTTAATGTTTCATATAAAATTTACCACGAACTGAGTTTATAGGAAAAAAATACTTTTGTTCGATAGTTTATTGATCCATCTTAATCTTACATCATCATTCAATTGTACTTTCCTTAGCTATTTGCAATTGGAGTTCATTTCAACACTGAAAATTTCGTTGTTAGCGTAGCTCTAAAGCTTAAGGATAGTATCTTCGTGCAGAGTCTGAAAACTCTAATCTATTATGATTTATGAAGCAACGTTTATCACTGTTAACTCCTCCATATAAGAATTTGAAGACATCATGATGAATAAGATATTATCAATGCCTCAAAATGTATGCACATAAATATTATAATTTTTGTTTTTACATTGTGTAAGTAACGCTCAATGTAATGTCATATATTAAATTAAGGTTTGTTTGGAATGTATATCACAACCCGACCTTAGCTCAGTTGGTAGAGCGGAGGACTGTAGTGGGAAATGCTCCAAGCAGATAATCCTTAGGTCGCTGGTTCGAATCCGGCAGGTCGGATTTTTTAAATTTTATCCTTACATAGTGTTGTACTGGTACACTCCTTTACCTTTATAGCAAAAACAGCACTTTATCATTGTTTGAAGAATTCCGTACACTGAATTTATATAATTTTTCAATTATTGTATTAACAATTTTCAAATGGAAAAAATATGTATTATTTTAAAAGATATAAAATTATGTCATTTTAAGTGAGAGAAAGAGATTAAATCATGAGAGAGAGAGCGGGAGAATTTTTTTTAAAGATGTAAGTCCCACCTTTTTATGAGAGTTAAAAAATGTAAAGTGTGTCATTTAAAATAACACATTTTTACCTTTTCAAATATAGATTCTATAATATCTATAAATTCTGCTCCATTCGAAAAACCACTACGGACACCCCCAACGCTATTTATGCACGACCAAATTCAAGCTACTTATGCGATTAGGCAATTTATGCAAGAATTTTTTATTTTTTATTTTTATTTTGTGTACATTATGCTATAAAATTATGTGTACAAAATAATAACTTATTATCACCCGTTTCCAAACGACGCTTTCCCATTAATTTAACACATCGATCAAAGGATTCAAAAACTCCCATCGGGAAATAAACAAAAGGGGGGGAAAAAAGAATCCATTACGGGTGAGTTGTATTAATAATAACTGGGTCAGAACACACCCAACTTTGTGCTCAAAGACGTTGCTCGCCACATACAGAAACACAAGTATATTCCATTGGCAGCAGATGATGTTAGTATCAGTTCATTTCTCATTAAGACATCAATTACAGTATATATTTGAAGACCATGACACGAGGGAATACGAAGCACCATTCTCCAAAGGACATATTGACGTCAAAATGGGGGCATCTCTCTTGTTGCCATGCTCAGAATGCATCCAACATGTATTCCTATCAATGCTAAAGTAATGAAAACATTGATCTCCCTTTTCATAAAGAAGAAAGGAAGACACAATGCGTTCAGTATTCTAAAACCCTTCCCTCAAGAGAACAGTTGTGTTTATCGAGTCCCTCATAAACCCTGTCACTAATATCTTTTTAATCAAATGACCCAAATGACTGTACATCTGAGGTTGGATGTAGATCTCCATTATGGGGCGTTGAAACAGATGACTTTCCTATGCTTTCCACAAAACCATGTACAGGCCATTCCTTTCTGCAAAGTAAACAAAAAACAACAACCTGTTAAAACTACCAGCTAAAATAACTCAGTTTTTTTATCAAAAATAAAAAATCATAAAAGAGAACAAGGTCTAAACAACAGCTTCAACCGTGTATATGAACACTAAAAATTGAGTATATTACTCCAACCTCTTCTTTTGCATTTGTTACGCAAACCCCTCATATTTTATAAATAAGCTACACTCAAGTCCAACTTTCGATAGTGAACTTCAGGGAACTGTTAGTCAATATCAACCGTTATTTTTGTGTTGGATTGATGAAAATATCCTTACTAATTACAGCTTTTGGCTCTTTACACAAAATCCCCTTTATTTCTTAAACCTTCCACAAACCCCCTCATATTTGATAAATGCATTACAGTTAAATTACAGTAGAAGTTTGAAATTATTGAATACTTAGACTACAAAATTTTTTAAATCACATTAGAATAAATAACAAAACAAGTTCTAGTTTCATATCTTCAAAATAAAAAAGTACTTTAATATTGTTGCAATGAAAATTCAATAAAATCTCAATCACATGAATTGCTATCACATACTACTAAGATGGATCAAAACTAACTTTTAGGATTAATTTCTCAAGAATTAAAAGATAAAAGAAATAACGTTTAAATTTCTTAAGACATGAATATTAATCAAAATACTTCAAGAATTATAAAATTAAAAAGGAAAAAGATTATTGAGCAAAATAATAAGGGTTTACTTCTTCAATGTTTTGCAAAGTACACTATTTAACATTAAGGAAAAATGTAAGAGAGGTGGAAATTATTATATTTTGCAAAACATTAAAGACGTAAACCCTTATTATTCTACACAATAATCCTGTTTCATTTTTCTATTATTCTTGAAGCATTTTTACTAATATCCATGTCTAAAGAAATTCAAAATGTATTCTTTTTATCATTTAGTTCTTGAAGAATTATTACTATTAGTTTTGATCCATCTTATTAGTATGTGACAAAAATTCATACAACTAAGTTTTTATTGATTTTTCATTACAACAATTTTAAAGTAATACTCTTTAAAGATATATAACTAGAGCTAATTTTGTTGTTTATTCTCTTATGATACTCTAAAATTATTTTATAATTTTTGTGATCTAAGTATTTAATAATTTCAATTTTTTATTGTAATAGAGGGGATTTAACTGTAAATCTGTAATGCATTTATAAATATGAGAATGTTTGTGTAAGGTTTAAGAAATAGAGAGTTTGGTTTAATGAGCTAAAACCTGCAGTTAGTAAGAGTGTTTTCATCAATCCACACAAAAAATATCGATAGGCTATTAAGTAACAGCTATGTGAAGTGCACCATATTTATAAAAAAAAAGGAGGCGGTTTGTATACATTTAGAAATAGAGGAAGTTATGTGTAACAAACACAAAATAGAGGGGAGATTTGAGTAAGATACTCCTAAAAATTTATATTAGAGGAGGAGGACCACAAGTTACAGAATCAAGGAGACAGAAAACATTCAAGACAATGTCAGCACAAGCATCAAGCCACAAGCAGTCAAAAGGGACACAAGAAGCCCAAAAGAATTTTCAAGACATGCAGACTTCATCTTTTTCACCTTCGTTTCCATTATGATATTATGATTATTTTTTTTCTTTATTTGTCAGGTTCAACCCATCAGCAGAGTACGACAATTTTGCTGTCAGTATACAGCTATAAGTAGACAGGATAGTCAAATTGATTACAACAAGAACTTATCAATGAACATGCTTATATACCACTTTAAGACTCAATCAAACAACAGAACAGATGAGAAAGAAACTGGGCATGAAAGTATACCGTTCAGCACCAACACCATACCTATACATACCCATTCATTTCATGAATGGATTGGCATATGATCAAACAGATGGAACCACACAATCATTTGGCTTATATCTTGCAACTAAATCCATTTTTACCATATGAAACAGCATAAAAAGGCATATTTAAAGTAGAATCCAACAACTTATTTGGTCATGTATTGTGCATCCAAAGATGTCCGACAACAATATGTGGTCTATGGACAGCAGAAAAACCAAAATTAGGAAAATCTGTTCAAAGCCAGTGGCAGAGCCAAGGACAAGATTCAGCTAGTGCCAAAGACCCAACTAGTAAAATCTAGCTAGTGCAAAAGACCCAACTAGTAAAATCCAGCTAGTACCAATGTTGTATTATTCTTAAAAAACTAACCAATACCAAGGCTATACTATAATTTTTAAAGAAAATATGTAGCATTTTTGAAAACCAGCTGGTGCCTTGGTGGCTCCGCCACTGTTCAAAGCAGCAATCCCATAAGTCCACATAGAGGGCATCTATGCCATTTACTTTATCTCTTATTCCTATTTAATTTGCTGTTCCTGATTCTTCTCTGAAGAAACAGGCTGATGATGATAAAACAAAACAGTTTTGAAGTATATACCTCTATTTTTATTTTATTTTAGTACAATACCTCTCTTTATTTTAGTGTATGCAAATAGTCAAATAGTCAAACTATTACCAACAAGCATCAAAAGCAGCTCATCCTCATTTAAAACGTTGAATGAATAAAAATTTGTTTGGCAGTACTTTTCCTAATTGGGTGTGAATTTATGCATCTAATTGACTAATTCTGCTTTATAAGATTTCTTCCTGTGAGGAAGGATTAAAATTTGATTCAATCAATCTGTTCAAAAATGCCCTAAGCAATATGCACTCCTCTGGAATAGCAATAGTTCAGCCTCTTAAAATTACATTTTGATAGACTGAGTCAAAGTATCAATAAGCAACCCGTAATTCTAGAAACAGCCTACAGACCAGTGGGACCATACTTAAGATTAACGTAGCACATAAAATATTAAGAAATTTACATTTGAATTGGAATGTTTTTTACACGTCAGATGTAATACAAATTTTACATATAGGGTAAAATATTATTAGCCATTGCATATCATAGTTGTTAAATGCGCCGCTATTGCGTGCAATTGCGTTCGGGTTGCACATTGCGAGACCTACTGCTACAAGCCGCTACGCAATGTGTTGGTTTGCTTTTGCGGCTATTGCGTCTGCTTTTGCGGGAGAATTGCGGAACTTTGCGCCGCTACAGAAAAAGGGCTCTGAAATTCCATTTTTGCCCTTCATTTAATGACCCAACAGACTTTTTTTGTTAAATTATCTTTTAACCATTATTTGTAATGTGCCTCTATTCGTCATTCTCACTCTCAACCAGCAGCGAACAACAGTGGCCAGCCCTTCCACTTCCGGCAAACAGCGAACGCAGACAGCAACTGACTTCCGGCAACGACTCTCGCTGTTCTAGGTTCTATCTATTTTCTTTTCTTCTTCTTTTTTTAAACTGTTCTCTTTTTTTTCTACTCTGTTTTGTCTTAACATAGATGTGGAGTTTGAACTCTCATATGTCATGCCCAATCTCAGTTCTCTCTGTTTTTTCTCAAAGCCTTCATGACACATTTTAGAAAGCTTAATCAAACATATTTTATATTTTTAATTTTAGGCTTAGCAAGAATAGACCCTATTGAACATTGCTTTGTGACATTTTAACAAGTGCAGCTTCTTGATATTTTAACTCTATTTTATAAAAAAAAATAAAAAAAAACATAAACATAAACAGCCTTCAAAAAAAAATTTATGACGGTGTTTTTTATGATGTTTTTAACTCATTTTTATTCTGTCTATGATATCTAAGGCTTCCTTTTTTTAATTTTTATATGATGGTGCTTTTTCTTTTTCTTTTAATTCTTAATAATTTGTTATGTTACTTGTATTGAAGAATTGTTTTGTTACTTGTTAATACTTCTCCACTGTCCTTATCCATGTTTTACTAGCATGCTTTGATTTTTTTAATTTTGAGCATATATACGTGTGGAATATCTAGGTTCCATTGATCTATTCCGCTATTTCCGCAACTGCAACCCGCTACAGCGCAATGACATTTTTCAGGGTTGGCCGCGACACGCTTCAATCCGCATTTGATAACTTTGATTGTTGGAGAGAATGTTTTGTATTTTTCTATTCCTATTGAGATTCAACATGCTACCAAGGTGATTATACTTTGTGGAGAAAATTTTTGGTTTCAGTGTATTAAGATTTAAGGTAGAAACCATGAAAGTTGTGGGGGAGCTTCTGAGTAGAAAAGAAAACGAGAGAAAGAGAGGAGACAGAGAGAGGAAAGGTAAAGAAGATAATTAGAAAAGAACTTTGTATGTATTGTAATTGGTCAAATTAGAAAGGTTTACACGTGCCCTACTTATTTAGCTAAAGACTGATGACTCAACAAATGAGTCACTAACTAAAGCCTAACAATAAAACAGAAAATAGCTGGAACCTAACCAACTATGAACCAATTAGTAGCTGGCATCTCCTACATACAGAAGCATTGTATTATAGTACACCTGAGGTATAAATATTGAATAACATTAAAAACAATCACGTTATCAATCAATCCTAGGGTAAAATATTATTAGTCATTGCATATAGATAGAAACCAAGTGCATTCCTATCATCGTTCCATCACTTGTTATAAGTACATCTTTAATAAATCTTCATCACTGAAACCAAAAAATTTCCCCACAAAGCATCATCACCTTGATGGCATGATGAATCATGAATCTCAATAGAAATTGAAAGATACAAAACAGTCTCCCTAACAATCATGTTATCAATCAATCTTTAGAGGTCTACAATTCATTTGGGATAAACAAAATGAGGGGATTGTTTATCTCATCTTTTGTGCTAAACAAGTTTCATCAATTTCAAATGGTCAACAACAAGGATCCATCTACAGCAGGATTCCAAATTAGCTAATACAATAGAAGGCAAAAAATAAGCCAAACAGTTATTACTCACTTGGACCAACTGTTAGCCGGAGAACCCTCAAGAACATAGCTGCTAGCAGATCCATTTGGACTCCCATATATGATTTCATTCTGAGTAGCTCCCTCCTGAGTTGTAAGGCCACCTGACAATGGTGGGAATAAAGCACTCTGTAACCAAGGATCATAGCCACTTGAAACAGTAACAGGGCTGAAGTTCCCGCCACTCTGACCATTAGGAATAAAAACGTTTTGTGGAGAATGGGTCCCAGATATTATATTATCATCTTTGTTAAAAAGTGAAGCCATAGTATTCTGAGATGATGGAAGCACAAAGTCATCTTTGTTTGGTACATTTCTTTGTGAGGGTAACAGCCAGCTTCCTGGGCCACCAACCAAACCTAAACCTTCCTGACCAAGTGGTGTACTCCACATCTGCCATGTTCCCTTCTCATTTGCAGCTGCATCATCCAAAGGAAAAGCATGCATGTCTTGGCCCTTGGGGGTACTTGGAAACCAATTAGAACAGCTATGCTTTTCTCGAGACAATGGGGACTCAATTGGAGATGGCTTATTAACATCAGAACCATCAGATATGTCTTTTAAAGAGTGAGGCTTTGCTACTTCCATGTCTGTCCCAAAGCCACTTCCCAAGTCCAACTGAAAATTATCAAGTGACTCTGAAACAGGCCCAAGCAATGATACCGGATCTGGAACATAACAAGGGTCTTCAAAAAGCTCTTGCTTGTCATGTCTAAAGTCACGCGATGTATTTCCAACTGGAGAGAATAAAGATTCAACTGCAGGAGAAAAACCTAGACTACTACTGCTTGATCCATTTGGATGGGTAGAAATTTTAAAAGGTGATGGAAGACCAAAGTGAATTGGATTATTAAATGATTGTGTAACCGGTGACTGGCTTGATAACTGAGGGCTTTTGGCTTCTGCTTGAATTTTGGAATTTGGTCTACATATTACATTTGAATTTGAGGACTGAGGAACAGATGAAGATCTAGTAAACAATTGCTGCCATGACATTTTAGGTGCTTTCCAAGGCTGTGGTTCTGGGAGAACCTGCAGGGAGCAATCATCATAATAATACTGTTTTCTTTATAGAGAATTTGTTAACTGCTACCTAATATAATCCTATATAGCAAACAATTAATATTAACTAAAGCATCATATAATTTTGTTCATAAATTTAAGAGACTGACAGTTCACAATGTGGCCAAACAAACTGAAGATTAGAGACAAAAGACATTTGAATATAATTCTGGTTTGAAAAATCCACATAACATTTTTTTCTAAAAAAAAGAGACAGTAAATAGTATTCCTACACCAATCAACCTTCAACAAAACCTGCTTAAAACATTAACAGTATGATAAAAAGGCAAAGAAAAGGGACCAAAAGCAAGATAACTTACAGAGTGATTGATATTCCTATCATCTCCATTCAAATTGGATTTTGCAATCGGACGTTCAGGAGGACATACATCTCTCCTTCCGGCAGCAGTATGAACATGATCTACATAACTGTTAAACTTGTTTTCTTTGAGCATAGTGGCAGGATTATTAGTACCCCTTCCAAAACCAAAAGCTTTTGAAGAGGACAAAATTGTACCCCGCATATGATCAAGGTACCTTGTTCCAGCACTCCCTCGGTTATAATTGTTTGCAGTTACATTTTTACTATGTGCATTGTCTGTACTTTGTCCCCTGCCACTCTCTAACCCAGATTTATGATGCTCTCTACGATCCATTTCACTCTTTTTGTCAAAGTCCCGCTTCCGTTCACTTTCCTTGCCAGCTCTTCTTTCCAATTCTTCTGCATCAGAGTTGCTCTTACTGGAGCTCTTATCTTTCTCTTTTCTTTTTTCCTGACGCTTCTTTTCAGCTTCCTTCCTACTGTCATTCTCCTTACTGGAAGGTGATGATTTGCTGTGATCTTTTTCAGCTTCCAGTTTCTCATCTCTCAGTCTCCTACGCTCCTCCACTAACCTTGCAACCTCCTCCCTTTGTTTTCTCTCTTCCTCTTCCAAAAGTTCTTTCTCTAGCCTAGCCTGCCTTTTCTCCTCAGCTTTCCTGCGTGCTTTTTCCCCTCTACTTTCATTGAGGCTCGCCCCATTCTCACCCTGTTTTGCTAAGAGTGTACTATGTTCAGCATCAGACAAGCAATTTTCCCCTGAACTAACTCTAAAAATCTTTCTCCAGAGCCATCTAATGCCCAAGAAAAAAGATGTCAAAAACTTGCAAACATAAAACAAAAGACCAGAATGTGACCCCTCTGTCAAACAATGCTCATCTCCTCCACAAATACCACCATTCTCATTCATCCTCCAGCTGCTAGGATTGCCATTCTCCAACCAGTCCTGACTGCACATCCACCCATTTTCAGACCAAACCTTGCTATTTAATATCTTGCCACTTTTTCCAACCAAGTCCTTAACTATACCAGAATTCGAAATCCCCAACCCTGGCGGCACAGGCAAGTCTAAAACAGGTCTCTTCGAAACATGCCCACAGTACGAACACATAAACCGACCCCCACCAGGGTTCTGATCCCTATAGGGATTCAAGCAGTTACGGCACCGCCTCGTAGCTGTCTTCCTTAGCTTCTGCATTTCTATAGCCTCAGACCTCTTCCTCTCTCTAAGCCGTGCATTCCTCCGCACCCGCCAAGCAGACAGCTGAGGCATCAAAATCTCATACCAGAAGAGAGTAACCAACAACACAAAGACACAAGCAAGACGTGGCGAAGTAATCTCAAACCGAAAAGCAGGTGGTAGTAGCTGAGAAAGCGCCCACAGACCAATTAATGGAATAACTAACCAAGGTAGCAATGTAGCAACCCGGCGAGACCACTTCTGAATCACACACAGTATACACATTATCCTCTAACCCCTAACCCTCTGTGTTCTTCCCAAACGTATCCTCTCTTGTTGTTCGCAACAAAAACCAATACTTTCAAGAAAACCCTAACCCTATTATACTTTCCCCCTCTCGATAGTCAATATCGAAGATAGACACAGAAACTTCAGAACCCTTAAATTTCAAACCTAAAAAGAAAAATAGATTCAGAATTTGTACTAAGAAATTCAAATTGAAATTACCCTATAGCAGCTAAGGCCTCGATAGTTCAATAGAAAATATGAAATTTAACAAACAACTATGCCTAGAAAAAAGAGAATGATTTGGAGCTTCAGCTATGGCAATTGTGGCATCAATCGAAGCGGAAATGAAATGGGAATCGAACATTTACAGATTTCGCATCCATTGCAAAAACGAGAAGAAGAAAACCTGAGAGAATGGGAGCGAAATGCGATTGGGGCAGAAGCGCGTGAACATGTTCGGAGCTGGACTCAACTCTTCCGATTCGGGTCGGAGCCTCGGTCGCGGGTTGTTCGGTGTTTGGGTTCTGAAAAAATAAGAGAGAGAAACTTTCGCTAGAAGAGAGAGAAAGAAGATAAGAAGGGAGAAAATTTTGAAGGAGGAAAGAGAAAAACCAAAATCGGATTAAGCTATGCTAGTGAACCGAGCCGAACCGATGGAACGTAGTCCGTGAACCGAACCGGGTCTTGATATGGTCTTTTTGCCTAGCCCCTTCAAGTGAAGACTGAGTCCAATTAAGCTAGATATGGAAATGAATGGTTTGCTTTGCTGAATGGTAAGTCGGTGGTTAGAGACTTCATTATCCACTTAATATTATTTTTAAGCCAAAAATTCATGTTGTTAAGTGTTAATAGTGTTCAATTGTTGAAGTAAAATAATAAATTAAATCAAATTTTGTTGCAACCTAAAATATATTGGGCTAACATATGTAAATGGGGTAGATTTCATTTAGTGTGTAGTGTGTAAGTTCATAGATAATATTTATTGGGATATATTATTCTACCTATTATTTTTATTGCCTACATTTATCTACCACCGTTAAATACCGTTAGATCAAAATCTCAATAGAAGAGAGAAATAAAAAATATAATCAGAATTCTGATCTAACAATATTGAAGAGTGATAGACAAAGATAAGCAAAAAAAATAATATGTAGAATAAACTATCCCATATTTATTTACGTTCTTATCTTAAATCAGCGTACAATCTCTTTAAAGTTGGAAGAACTATATTTTTTACTTAAGGATCCCCATTGGAAGTATAACGTTCCTAGTTTATAAAGAAAACTTGGAAGGTAAGTCTTCCACTAAAATATCATTATTATGAAATGTGAGAATACAAATCATTAAACCAACCTAAAATATTAGGGTTTTATAAGTGTTATGTTGTAGGAAAGATGATTGTGTTATGTTATAGAGATTCATTTTGCGTGTCACAGTTTTTTTTTTCCTTTTTTCTTCAAAACTTAAGGGTCCCACAAAATATTGTGTGTGTAGAAAACTTTATGTGGTCATGTTAAATGATAAATACAAATTAACCCCAAAATATTATGCACCTTTCTTAAATATAATATAAGGGATCTATTAATCTCATGTTGCATGAGATAATTATCTCATGCAACAGAGACAATAGTGGGGTCCATTATTTGTAAAAAAAAAAAGAGAGAGAAAAATGTTTCTGCAGATAAGTTATCTACATTTATTCTCAAAACGACGTCGTTTTGATATTAAAATCTTAAAAAATTATAAATATAAGGACTATTATAATCCTGAAATAGATTAAAATTACAAAAACACCATGGTTTTCGCCCCAGAACGACGTCGTATTGAGCTTCTTATCTGCAGTAACTGCAAAAAAAACGAACTCAAAGAAAAAATAATGTGAACTCCACTACTTTGTCTCTGTTACATGAGAGAATTATTTTCATGTAACATGAGATAAATATTTCCCTAAATATAAATATCATAATTGAAATAGAATTATATATTATAATACAAATTTTATATTATATATCTCGATAAAAATAGAAATTTTATTGGATGATACTTTTGCCTTGGACATATAAAGTCTCTACTTTAGGCTCTATTCTTTAAATTTAAAATCATACACTTAATGATATATTTATCCTATCAAATATAACAAATAAGAAGGGCTTTCGTGATTACGGAAAAAAAAGGGCTTTCGCAAAAATATAATGTATTTAGTCATAACTTAGCATGAAAAATTCATCCATGATTTTAAATGAATCGTGCTAAAATCATAATATATTAAGATAGTCTACCATCGAAAATATATAACCTTGCCTGCAAAGATATTCTCATAAATATGGATATTTCTATGTATCAAAGATCCGTACTTTACAAATGTGTCCTTGTGCCTCATTTTGTCTAAGGAAATGAAGTTATTGTGCAAATGATAAATTTAATAATGTAATAATAAAAAATAGTTACACAATAATTATAAAAAAAAAATATCTGTGTGGGAATTATTGGAGCTTTGTTTGCCAATATTTTGAAATCAATAAGTACATATAATTTATATGCATTATATGTTCTAAGAGGACCTAAGCATATCATTAAAAAATAATTAAAAGAAATACAAAATAACATAATTAATATATAATAATCCATGACTATAACTTTTTAGTAGCTCCTATATTAAAAATATTAATTTTTCAGAGATTTACAAGAAATGCATTATTCAAGTTTTGTAGTTTGAAATTTCTTTCCTTATAAGCAGATGGATGATAATTTCTTTGAAAGCATGCATGCATACATATGTACATTTAATTATGTACAAATATTTTTTTGATATTTAAAATAAAAAAATTCTCTTAATATTTATTATACTTTACTTTAAATTCATTAATCACATTAAAAATTAATTTATCACATTAATAATTTGTTTTATGTGATTAATGTTTCTCATGTTGAAGAACATAGATAATTTTATTTCCTATACATACATAAAAGTGTGTAGGGTCCATTTGGGGTCATGTAAAGATAAGGGAGAAAAAAGAAAAACATGAGTCTCATACACTTTTATATATGTAGGAGATAAAATTATCTCCTACAACATGAGAAACACTAATATCTTATTTTATGTGTTTAGGGTTTAGGATATCACAACACCATCCAATTATGAACCCAAACATGGATTCCAACACCATGTATACCCTATATTTACATGGAGTGTCAATTAGAAAAGGGTTTGATTTAGTGGGCTCGGTCACCAATACTAATATGGTGGCAGTACATATATAGAGGTGGAGTTTTTCACTGTCCACAATACAAGTGTAGTAATGGCATAGGAACATGTAGCTTCCAATTAAATCTCCAACGAGGAAATGGCTTTATGAATTCTTTAATCTAGATTATAAAGGTTAAAGCGAGTTTTAGTAGGACCCTAAAAACTCTCATAAAAAAACATCAATAGATATGGTTGTTTTCTTTAAGCCCAGGATCAGTGAACTACGGGCCAAGGAGAAAATCAGCAAACTTGGCCTTTCTAAGTACATTATATGTTATCGATCTATTAGGGAGGGATTTGGATTATGTGAATGGAAAGGGATATGCAGATCACTCCCTTGGAGTAGTCCAACCAATACATTCAATGTAAGATCCCACTCTCTACTAACAATTTTGTCATGTTTATAGTTTTTTATGTAAGCTCAAAGTGTGAGGAAATGAGTTCTTTTTTGCCTTACTTGAGAAGGCTAAGTTCTTCCATATCTGATCATTGGTTCGTACGGGGAAATTTAAATAAAATTGCCTTAACCCAGGGAAAAAAAGGTGGAGATCTAATGGATCTTTTACTTTTTTTTATTTTTTTTTTGCTATTGCATTGGATGATTGTCAGTTTGTTACATGTTGGATTTAGGTGACCTAGGCCCTGTCTTCTATAATAACTTGACTAATTAAATTATGAGTTTAGGAATTAATTAGAGATTAAAAGAGGTTGATTATATTAAAAATCTAATTATGTGAATTAAGTCACTTTTCGGAGTAAAAGTGCAAATAGAGAAAGTTTTGGGGTAAAAATGCAATTAAGCAAATTTGTCCAAAACTTAGAAGGAATTTAGTGATAAAGTTAATTCATAAATTTTATGAGTTTAAAATCATGTTAGATAGTCTAAGTCATGGATTAGAAGGTGATTAAGAATGAAGGGCAACTTAGTAACTTGTCATGTGTGTTTTATTGACCAAGGTCGAACCTTGATTAAATGACTTAAACACTTAATCTTTCTCATGTTTCACCATGTTTTCTTTTCTCCAAACCGCCTCACCATTGTTGAAAAAAACTCATTTGAGTGTTAACCATTGAAACACTTAGGTTGTGTAATGAAAGTTGCTTAGTTTCTTACAATTAGCAAAACCTACCAATTAGTTTCCTTTGAGGTGCTTTGTGTTGAGAGAAATTTCTTCTCCAAGTAAGGCGACATTCTTGAAGCTTGGTGTGGGAGGAGAGTCTTGACTCTCTAAAGCTTGGAAATTACTCCTACAATCATTTTAAGGAACTTTATGGTAAGATAACTCAACTTACTCTAAGTTTTATGAAGAAATCATAAACTAGGTTTTTGAGAAATTATAGATTTTGGTGTTCATGGATTTGATGTGGCTTTTGATGGTGAAGTTATGTTTGTTTGGTTGTGTAGTGTTGAACTAAGTGGTATCTTAGTGGAAGATCAACCATTGGATCAATCCATTGGTGAAGACATTGGTCCTTGATATTTCAAGGAATTGGTAAGTTATTAAACTTAACACTTTGAAGGGAATTAGAGGGTTTTACATGATGAATATATTGTTATGTAAGTGTTTGATTGGAATTATACCTTGAGTAGGTTGTATTGGTGAAGTGGCTAATTGTGAATAGGTTGCTTAAGCTTAAAGATAGCTTGTAAAGAAATAACTTCAAGAGGTAAACTCTTGCTCTTGAAGTGTTATTTCCCTTTATGTTGTTCCATTATGTTTGTTTAGGAGTTATGGTTAAGAATAGATAATTGATTGAATGTTAGATAAGTATTATAGATGCATTCACATGAGGTTATTATATCATTGATGAATGAACCAATGGACAAGTACCTAGAAGCTTCTGTGATGATTTATGTAATGAGTTGAATGATGATTCATTGATTAGTTCTTGGCCAATGAACTCATACGTGAACCTTCTTTGGGGCATTCATTCTTTAGGACAACCCTTAGAAGTGTACTTTCCTTGGGGCATTCATCCTTTGAAAAAAAACCTTTGAACTATCATGTATAAACCTTCCTTGGAGATTTTATCCTTTGGGACAGTCCTTAGAATGGTTATTTATGGACTATTCCTTGGGGCATTTATCCTTTAGGACAAACCTTGGAAGATTCAGATTTTGTCTATGTTTATATGAGGTTATTATACTATATTATCGAACCTATCATGCAGGAAATTAATTCATGGGTGGAGTAATACTCCAAGAACCCTGAGCTGATTGAGATGTGAATCTCACCCTTTTTGGAGAATGATATTTTAGGTACTTCAGCTGAAAGAGGTGGAACCTCACAGGGCAAG